CAAGTTATTTCCTTGAATGCATGGAAAGAACCGAATTGGACTTATTTGTTGAAAACATATGTGAATATGTGTGGGAAGTGCGGGAAGAGACAGATGAAATTCCAAACTATGGAAAACAAACTCTTGGAATTGGAGAAGGCGAGAATGAGAATGTGTTTTTTCCCCAAATAGTGCTCCGCACTAAGGGGTTCTTACGGTAAGAGTTAAGCGGGTTTAGATCAGGGTTCGCGCGTGTGGCTGTGGCATTTTGCGTGGGCCGGCTCGCACAAAAGTTACTTTTTGAATTCCTCATGTCCATTTCGACTGCGCAGGCTCGCATAAAGTGGTGGCCGCGCCTTTCGCGCTTCCGGGACAAAGCTCTCGTGCAGGTGCCGTGCTCGTTTTCGGACATGAAGTGCATTTTGCGTGGCAGGCGCAAGGAATTCGACACATTGGAGCCTCGAAAAGGTCATTTTACGTGGCAGGTGCAAGGAATCGGAGACTTTGCAAATTTCGTGGCAGGCGCAGTGTTTTGCGGACGTTGCAAAAACGTTGGCAGGCGTGTGTCATTCGCAGGATTGCGTTTCACGTGGCAGGCGCAGGGAATCCGCACCATGGATGCGATATTTTGAGGTGAAGCGGCTGAATTCGTGAGAGGGGTCGCATTTTTGGAATTTGAACTTGAGGATGCTTTTGCGTGGCCAGTGCAGCATTTCGTATGACCTGCAGGCATGATTTCGTGGCAGGCGCAACATTTCTGAAACGCATTTCAAAATTTGCGAAAGCCTCGTGCAATTTGCTCATTTTGGATCTCCGATGCGCAGATTTCGTGGCAGGCGCAGCACTTTGTGAATCTGGATGTGCAGATTTCGTGGCAGGCGCAGCACTTTGTGAACCTCCATGTGCAGATGTCGTGGCAGGCGCAGCACTTTGTGAACCTCCATGTGCAGATTTCGTGGCAGGTGCAGCACTTTGTGAATCTCGATGTGCAGATTTCGCGGCAGGCGCAGCACTTTGTGAAGCTCGATGTGCAGATTTCGTGGCAGGTGCAGCACTGTGTGAATCTAGATGTGCAGATTTCGTGGCAGGCGCAGCACTTGCTGAGTCTGGAAGTGGAGATTTCGTGGCAGGTGCAGCACTTTGTGAATCTCGATGCAGGCACAGCACTTTGTGAATCTCAATGTGCAGATTTCGTGGCAGGCGCAGTACTTTGTGAACCTCCATGTGCAGATTTCGTAGCAGGCGCGGTAGATTGTGAACTTTGAAATGCTCCTATGTATTCGCCTATGTGCTCTCAGATTTGTGCTTGTATGTGCTCTCACACTTGTGCTCTCAGATGTGTGCTCTCATGTGCTCTCATGTGCCCCCATATGCTCTCATATGTGTGCTCTCATTTGTGCTCGTGAATCTGCACTCTCACATTTGCGCTCTTGTATGTATCCTCTCATATTTGTGCTCTCATCTGTGTGCTCCTTCTTTCCTTCCACATGATGCCATGTTCCATCTGTTCCTCTTTACACTATTTGGAGTCCCTTGCCGGTGTAATTTTTTGAATAAGATGTCAGTGAAGACACGGAGGAGGATACATACTTTGACTTGAAAGAGATGAAGGAACATCTCAAAAGCCTACCACCCGATGAGAGGAAAGGCGTAAAGGACTTTGAGAGATTGAGGAACTTGGCAAATGGAAGAAACGAACACGAAGGACTACACGAGATAGATAGAGTGATAAAAGAACTGGAAGAGGAGGAAGGGAAAAAAGGAAAACCCACCAGAACCCGAAATCTAAACAAGACAGCACAATTACTTAAAGAAACAACACCTATATATAGTAAGAGGAAATGAGTAGCGTAAAAATTGCCGATTTGAGTTCAGTTTCTGACAATTTAGCCTTATATGCTGACTTTCGAAGTGATAGTGAGGAGAAGAGTGGGAAAGAAAACACATAGAAAAAGAAGATGAAGAGATAAGAGAATTCGTTAGATGTCATCCTATGTCTTTACCTGATGATGAGGACGGCGATGCCTTCTGGCACAAAGTGATTGATAGGATGAAAGAAAAGGAAGGAGTAAATGGTATGTTAATTTGTTCGTTCGTGAGGTTTGACATTATGAAAAAGATATCAAAACCTCACGGACAAAAAAGTCATCATTGATTGTGGTAAGGAACTCAACCGTGATGGAGAATTCAATGCTATGATTATACACCTAACTCTTCTGTCAATAGCGATGGATGAACTAAACGATGCAAACAAACCGTGCCTAGCACAAATGAAGGTCATTGAACACTGGTGGGATGGAATAGGAAAATGGAAAGCATAAGCACGATTAATTCATAATACTTCTATTAAACATATTATGAACTAATCCTTTAAACCCAAACCCCCACAACAAGGTAACCCCTTAAACTTATAGAGATGCAATGACTGACAAAAAGCAATGTTCCGAGTGTAAGGTCTTTCAACCACTCAACTATTTCAAAAATGAATGTACGCAATGTACATAATGTCTGGAAGCAACTCAACGATACAGGGAGAAAAAACAAGATAAATTAAGAGAGTATGCCAGACAATACTACTACCGTAAAAATGAACACACATTAGTATGTCCCGTGTGCGAAAGCATTAAACAACTATCAAGTCAAACGACACGAGGAAAGCATCAAACATCAAAACAAAGTAAAAGGAAAAGAACAGCCAACAGTTATAAGAAATGGAGAGGATGATGAAACTGGCATTATGGGAATATAAACCAAAAACACAAAAGAAACACCACAAATCAAAACACAACAACCTAAAAAATCATCCACCTCGTTGAATTATAGCAATGATAGTGAAAGTTATGACCCTAAAACACGCATAACAAAACCCCAGAAAAACGACAAAGGCTCAACAAACATTTTCAAGAGCCAAGAAAAATCAACGAGGTGGTTGATGAACAAGAATTCCCCAGAACCCCCATTTTACAACTTTTTTTGGGACAGGGGTGCGAAATTGAAGAATATGATTCCGGGGCCGCATATGTGGCCAAACAACAATTGTCAATGAGGTCAACCTTGCCGGTGAATCATGCCCTTGAGCTACTTGGCCGTCGAACATTGATGTTCATGTATGGGTTCAGTTGGTGAAACGGTTCCGGACGCCAGGTTGGCGCAAAACGTGAAAAACAAGGCCCGTGCAGCTGGTGTGGCTGTTCCACACGCAGTGTGGTGCCAACATACGAACCTTGGCAAGGTGGCCAACGGCCACATCAAGAATCCATCCAGTTATGCAGGGCACCGAGAACATGCGCGTGGCATGCTGGAAAGGCGCGCCTTATTCTGCAGTCAAGGTTTGCGCCACCGTTGTCCGGGGCTATGTGCCGGAGGCCTGTGGGTTTTGGTTTTTTTGGGTTGGCACCGGCTTTTACTTGGAGAGGGGTTTCGCGGCGCACTTTGGCCACTGCCAGGCAAGTGGTGGAGCGCAGGCTTTCTGCCAAGGAAAGCTGGGAGACATATCTACCCAGGCGTGGTTCGCAGGAAGGTTTGCTTTTTGAAACAGGTATATACAGTATGAGATATGCATCATTGAGACAGTTGTTAGAGGGCTGCGCCACAGCAATCCCCTGCAGGGAGAGGGAAAGTAGAGAAGGGAGAGACAGAAGGAGAGATACAGATGCAGATACGTAAATATGATAAAATAAAGGGTCGCCCAGTTGCCTTAACAAACCATGACCGGACGGGTTTGCAAACTCCTCAAAGGAGGACAAGAGTCGGGTGAAATATTTTGTGGAAAAGTGAAGTGCAGCGAAGACAATGGGGGAGAGAAAACAAAATGTGTGGACAACTGTCAATCTGCTAAGGACCAATTGCGTGCGAAGTGCGGCCATGCAATCAGAATCGTACATGTGTAGATGTTTTTGCGATCACGCTTCCTATATAGATTTGCCTTGCTGGTGCTGCAGGCGGTGGCCCCAGCTCCCCAGGACCAGGACATGAACTTGGCGGTGGCACGGTTGACCTCGACGATTGGCATGATCAAGGCCGAAGAGGCGCTGGTAATTTGTCCAGGGGTGTTGGGCAAGCACGGGTAGCAAAGCTACAATGGAAGGGGAATTGTCGATTTTGGGCAACATACACCAGGCACTTCATACACAACCTCGCCGTCGCATGTGTGCAATATTGCTCTTTTTTGTTCGGCCTTTTCAATTTTTTGAACCCACAGTTTTGCGAGGCTGGTGTCAACCTCACAGATGATGCCATCAGGGTGCGCATGGGGCCATGCATAAAATTGTTTGACGTCATAGCGCAGCTTTGCACTGCAGAGGGTGGGCTAGATTCGATGAGGATTTGCCGAACTGCCGGGCCTAAATTAGCACATTTTGGATGCATCTATTTGTGTGTGTGTGTGTGTTTTTTTTGGATGCTCAGCCGGTATGGCATATTGCAGAAAAGCTCAGTGTGGCCGCATTGGAATGTTGGTTGGTCATCACTTTTTCCACGCGCCCACATCGGTTGGGCAACTTTGCGCAAACTATGATTCCTTTGTGTTGAGCCAATAGTTTGGGATATGCGATCTGTATATCGTGTTCTGCTTGGGGTTTTGCTAGTGCCGTGCTTGCAACTTGGGAGAGCTGTGCAAGACAGGTTTTGCGCGCTGTGCTTGACGTGCAACCTAGGCGCTCCTCAAGCTTCCGACGCAGCACGCCTCGCAGCTCTTGGAGCAGGTGCCACGGACGGGGGTGATGGAATGCGGCGAACATGGGCACGAACAACATTTTCTTTTTTTTGGGGGAGTTTGGGTGGGGGGAGTAGGTGGATGTAAGGTGGCATGCTTGGTGTCACTCTCATTCTGCCGCAGGCTGCTGGTCCCAATGATTTAGATTCAGCCAACGGACTTGACCATGGCATAACCGATGCATGATAGAACATCGGCCTAATCTTCAATGGAACTGCAGCTTTCAATAGGTAGCAGTGCCAAACCAGGAGAACACAGTAGCAACATACAAGGAGTCTTTGTTGAAAGAGACCACTTTACTGACGCCATGGAGGGGCAAAGGTTCTCCAGGTTGGGCCTTTCCATCATAGCCTGCTTGGGATTTGCGGTGCTTGTGTTGAACATCTTCTTCTGGTGGCGCTACGTGCACGCTGCCGGGCTTTGGGGTGACCTGGAGGACGGTTCCTGCAAGCTCTTAAGCGAAAAGTACACCGCAGGGTGGAAGTGGGGGTGGAGCTTCCCCATCACTGGGCCATCTTGGACAGATGTGCCCTGCAATGTGAAACTCGAAGCCTCCCTTGACGGTGAGCCGGGTTTTGAAGGGAAAGCGACGCTCCACTTCACGTATTGGCAGGGCGTGGTGTGGGACTACTTGAAGGATAGCTGCAGCCGAATGCTCCCGAAGCTTGACGGCTCCTTTGACTGCGCTTTTGATTTGCAGGGGACCGTGTTCGTGGGACATACTGGTAGCCTACCGCATTTTCCACGGCTACTCCTGATGAAAGCCTCTGGCTTGTCGCTCCTGACGCTGAGTCCGGTTCTCCTGATGTGTGTCAACATGGGCCGAGCTGCACGAGCTTCTGAAATCTCTATGGAGGTCCAGGCAGACGAGCCATACACTGTGTTGACAGAGGATCCTGATGGCATTTAGAATTTGGAAGAGCCTGTTCGCTGGGGTCGTTTCTTAGTCTTAGTCAGCACGTGGATATTCACGATCGCTGGATCCTGTAGACTCTCTCTCTCTCTCTCCCTCTCGGGGCGTGGCTTTAGCCACATCGCGACTCTGAGAACTGAAGCATGCATTTTGAGAATGCACCACGCGTGCTTTGTGTCCTTGGACTAGAAAGGCATGAGGGGAAAATGTGCCCTTGACAAGATTAAACAAGTAGCCTCTGCAAAATGTCTGGCAAATAAGTCCTTCATACTCATGGTAAGCTCAAGATATCAGCTCGTGGTGGTGCAAAGTGTCCAGGTGGCCGAGAAGAAGGGCGTCATCCGCGACTTGTCCACGTCCCAGATCAATCATCGCTTCGGCTTGCCCGAAAAGACCCATGCCCGTCCCTCCAAGGTCCAACTATGTGTGTGCCACGGTGGCACGGGGTTACCACCCCAAGGCACGACCACCGGTTCCATACGGTGTGGGTGTCGGGAAGTGCGGAGATGTTGGTGGCGCGCCTGTGATTCTTCAACGAACGCAATGCAGCTCCGAAGAGGTCGGGAACCTTTGAAGTCCAATCCGTAGCGCTCCCGCCAGGAGGGTGGTGTGGTCGGCGGACAATTGGGTGCACACGTCTACAATTCAAGGCCTTGCAGCAATCCGAGTGGGTCATCCCCGCAATGCTGCGCCGAAGAGCAGACCGCCCCAGAAACCATGCCTGAGGGTGCACAAGGACCCCCGTACTTGGCAAGACTTGTTTGGACATTGTTTTCAAGATTTGAACATGTTTGAGCCTGAGCAGATGCTTTCATTTCCCTTACAGGTTGCAATCAATGTTTTTGCAGCAGCCTCCACTCAGCTAGCCCTGCTCAGGCCAAAAGCTGCCGAAGCCGTGCCAGCCTCAGTGGCACTACGGCAGACGCTGGCGCAGCCACAGCTACCATTGACCAATGGAGCTTGGCAAACACCAGGAGAGCAGCCAGGGGCCCTCGTGCCGCCAAGGGGGCCTGTTGGAAAGAAGATCGGAAAGTGCTGGGATTGACCGCAACAGCGTTGAACACGCATCCCGAGCTTTCTTTTATCCCTCAGGACCTCCTCCAGAGCGCGGTGGAAGCAAAGGCAAAGGCCGGACGTTGTACGTAGCAACTAAGCAGCAGCTGAAACGTTGATCAGGTGGATATGTTTCGGCAATCTGTATTTCTTGGCATTTGGATTGACAGAAAGGTGTTTAATTGTTCAACATGATGTGGGAGACTTGGCTAACACAATGCTCCAATCCCAAAGTTGGACCGGTGGTGAGTGATGCATTTTCCCTGAGATTGTTCAGCCCCGCCACAAGGAAGACACGAGCTCCTGTTAAGGGAAGACACGAACAATTGATGTGCATCTGCAGGAAAGGGCACCGGCATTGAATTGGTGGAGCGGCCACGCTTTTTGGGGGATTCGCGGTCAAATCATTCGAAAAAAAACAGCATTTCAGCCACACAACAACAACAACAACAACAACAACAACAACAACAACAACAACAAC